CCCAAAATTCCCAAATTTTTCCTCCCAAAATTCCCAAATTTTTCCCCCCAGAATTCCCAATTTTTTAATTTTTTTCCTTTACCTGCTCCCACTTTCCTTCTTGGGCTCCTTGGGCTCCTCCGGGGGCGGCTGCAAAAAATTCCCAAAAAAAATTCCCAAAAAAATTCCCAAAAATTCCCCAAAAATTCCCAATAATCTCCAAAAAAAATTCCCAAAAAATTCCAAAAATTCCCCAAAAATTCCCCAAAAAATCCCAAAATATTCCCAAAAAATTCCCAAAAATTCCCCAAAAATTTCCCAAATATTCCCTTAAAATTCCCCAAAAATTTCCAAAAAAAATCCCAAATACTCACCCAAAAATCCCCAAAATATTCCCAAAAAATTTGCAAAAAATTCCCCAAAATATTCCCTGAAAATTCCCAAAAAATTAAAAAAAAAATTCCAAAAAATTCCCAAAATATACCCAAAAAAATTCCGAAAAATTCTGAAAAAATTCCCCAAAAATTCCCAAATATTCCCCCAAAATTCCCCAAAAATTCCCAAAAAATTCCCCAAAAAATTCCCCAAAAATCCCAAAATATTCCCAAAAAACTCCCCAAAAAATTCCCAAAAAATCCCAAAAAATTCCCAAAAAATTCCCCCCAAAATTCCCAAAAAATTCCCAAAAAATTCCCAAAAAAATCCCCCCAAAAACCCCAAAAACTCCCAAAAAAATTCAAAAAAAACCCCAAAAAATTCCAAAAAAATTCCAAAAAAATCCAAAAAAATCCCAAAAAAATCCCCCAAAAAATCCAAAAAAATTCCCAAAAAATCCCCCCAAAATCCCTAAAAATTCCCAAAAAATCTCCCCAAATAATCTCAAAAATATCCCCCCAAAAACTCCCCAAAAAATTCCAAAAAATCCTCAAAAAAATCCCCAAAAAATCCCAAAAAAGTCCCAAAAAAATCCCAAAAAATTCCAAAAAAGTTCCAAAAAAAATCCAAAAAAATCCCAAAAAAATCCCCAAAAAATCCCCAAAAAAATCCCTAAAAATCCCCAAAAAAATCCCAAAAAATCCCCAAAAAATCCCAAAAAAAATCCCAAAAAATCCCTAAAAATTCCCAATAAATTCCCCGAATTCCCACCCAAAAATTCCCAAATTTTGTCCCAAAAATTCCCAAATTTTGTCCCCCAAATTCCCGAATTTTCTCACCTGGGCCGGGGGTGGCTCCGCTGGGGCCTTGGAAGGGCCGGGCTGGGCCTGGGGAATAAAAAACAGAAAAAAAATGGGAAAAAATTCCAAAATTCCCTAAAAAAATATTGGGAGAATTGGGGGAAAAATGAGGGAAAAAGGGGAAAAAAAGGGGGGAAAAAATGGGGAAAAATTGGGGAAAAATTGGGAAAAAATTGGGGAAAAAATGAGAAAAAATTGGGAAAAAAATGGGAAAAAAATTGGGAAAAATTCCAAAATTCCCTAAAAAAAATTGGGAGAATTGGGGGAAAAATGAGAGAAAAAGGGGAAAAGAAAGGGGGAAAAGAATGGGGAAAAATTGGGAAAAATGGGAAAAAATTGGGGAAAAAATTGGGGAAAAAATGGGGAAAAATTGGGAAAAAATTGGGGAAAAATTGAGAAAAAATTGGGGAAAA